TGTACTATTATTTATTTTGAGACGCGTCTTTTTCGTATGAATGCAATTTTTTCTTTTATTTATCTATAATATATGTTTCTCTTTTCTTGTTATTTTTAGTGTTGCATTGAATCCCTCTTTTCATTTCAAGTTATATTGAATTATTTTTCTCTATTGTATATCTCTGTAGTACCTAATGAATCGTAACAATTAATAATTATTTTTTATTATAAGAAGAAGACACGTATATATATTTCCGCTCAGCTCGAACAATAATTAATATATAATTATTTGCTAGCGATTTATATTAAGTAAATGAAAAAAAAAAAGAAATAGAAAAATCTCAACTTTTTAAAAAGAATTTTGTTTACATAATACATATGTCATATGTTGTTTATGCATGGATGCACAATTTACATTTCATAATGTCAAGCAATAATTTTCCAGATAATTCCGAATTATGCGCATTTAAATTCGTTTCACTTTGTTTGAACAAAACAATAGAGGAATATGTGTGGAATATACACAAGAGAAAAATATTTACGGTACCGTTTGTGAGAATGACAGAATGGTGCTGCCAAATCGCATTTACGTATTCCAAATAGAAGAAGCGAGAAGAGCAAGGAAAAAAGGAGGCGTAATAAAGAGGCGTGATGCGTGTATACGCGCGCATTTACAAGCAATGTGCGAAAACAATGCGTGAAGCCGTGCATGGATCGAGGATCATTTCTTGAAAAAGCTAATTTATCTCGACGAGGGAGTCGCATGAGGGTTGTCGTTGCCGTGTACGCACATAGAAATGAGTTCATTCGTCTCGCACTTTTAATCGTTTCGAATAAAGATTTATACACGTTTATATCTTGGTGCCAACATCGCGTTTGAACAAATATAATTATAAATATAAACTAAAAAGAGTATTCGTGTTTTAGTAAAAAAAATACTTCATATTATAAAGTATTTTACTAAAACACGAATACTCTTTTTAGTTTATATTTATAATTAAATCTTTATAGAAAAAATACATAATTTATTGAAATAAAAAGAATATTTTTGAAAATTAAAGAATTAAAATTTTACGAAATTGGATGCAAGCTATTATTTCATCGATAAAATAAAACTAAATATTTTATGCAAAGAAACTTTTGTGTAATTAATTAGATAGAGTATTTAAGAATATGCATATTAAATTTGATTGTAAAATGTTAACAATTTGATTGTAAAATGTCTTATTTATTAGAATCATTGTTTCTAAAAAATATATAGTTTCGAGAAAAACTTGATTATATAGTTTGCATTGAAAACCATATATGTAAAATTTCATCATTTTGTTATTGATGTTAGTTTTGTGTTTGATTTGTATTGTAAAAAATTAGATATTATTACTATTTAAAAAATTATTACTATATATAAAAATACATAATAAAAATACACAATATTGCGTTTTGTAGCAATATAATTTTATTTGATGTCATTTCCAAAACAAATTTTCAATTAAATGCATTTCGTTTTGTATTTATTTTATTATTATTTTGAGAAAAAACTTTGTATATATGACTAATTGTATACATAATCGATTTTCTTTGAATTAATATACTTTATTAATTTAATCATTTTTTATTCATAAGATCTTTTTTATTAATTTGTTGATTTGTCAATAGTCATTTCTAGAGATTATTTTATTTTAGTGACTTTTTATTTCTTTTTATTATTACACTAGAAAGTACAATTAGAAAATCACTCAGATTAAAGATTATGGCGTAGAGTTCTTGGTAGACCTTTATGAAAAATGATGGAAATCATTGATTTATAATTTTTTAAATATAATAAAAATATAATAAAATAAATGAAACGTATATACATGTATAAAATTTATCGGTATATTAGTATTGTTTTCTTCCTGCTTCGGAAATATTTCACAGACATAGATTTAAAATTTTAAGATACTGTTTCAAGACATAAATCTTTAGAAAAATACAAATAAAACTTGATTTTATCAAATGTTTACTCTGGCATGAACTCCTAAGCTTTCAAGTAGAGTACAATAGTTGTTATAACAATATATATCCCAATCTGCGACAGAGGGTGGCACAATGTCGATCTGGGCGTCCCAAAGTGTCAACTGTATCGTTGAGAGAAGGGGCCACGGGAGAGAGAGCTCACATTCTACAATGGCGTCGGAAGGGTGGCGTTTGTTATAAATGAAAACGAAATTTAATCACACGTGATATACTGCTTTCAGTATACGGGGTGGGTATGACGATGAGCGCACGAATTCGCATCGTGTGAACGAAAATACGGGCACCTGCGACTGTTAGTGGGATCCCGGATGCGTATACCCCCTGTGCGATTTCATTATTAAAAGTCATTAAGAGCGAGTGGGTACGCGCAAAATAATATACATATCCGACATATTACCGCACGTGTTTCTAAATTACGCGAAAGGGTTGATAGATTTCTTTGAGTTAGCCAAGAGTTATGACTGATAGTATCTGATATTTTTATGATTACATCTTTATCATAATTACATCTATTTTTATGATTACATCTCTATTTATTTTATTTATAATTTTTTTTAAATTTTAATTAAGAGAATAAATTAAGTTAGATAGAATTAATAGATTGAATTAAAGTTTTATATATAAATTATATCTAAATAAACATCAAAGAAAGAAGTAACCAACAAAAAATGTTAGAATTATTATTATTATTATATTATACTATTGATAAAATAC